AATATAAACAAATCTTAAATTTCATCTATTTTATTTTAAAATTTAATAAGTTTTTATTTCTAATTTTAATAAAAATTAAAAAAAAATTGTCTTTAATAATTTTTTTAATATCTAATAAAGGTAGAAAGATAAAGATAAATATAAAAAATAATAAAATATTTATAAATAAAATCAAAATTAATTGTTGTTATTTTATAAATAAGATTTGGGGAATATGTTTTCTTTTCACGGGATGGGTTCTTCATTATTTTCTCGGTTGGGTGCTTTTGGGGTGCAAATGAGAAATCAGCCTGCAGTGAAATCTTAGGGTGTTTAGTTAGAAACCTTTTCATGATTAATTATCGCTCTTGAAATTCCATTTTAAAATAAAATCACCTAAGATACTTCATATTTTGAAACTCTTTTTTTTTATATTAATAATTATGACTACTCTAAAACTTCGCTGTAGAAATTATTTAAAGCTCTATTGATAATCCAAAAAAAATTAATCTGAAATTCTATTTAAGAATTATTTTCTTTTGTAATTAATTTTATCAAACTAAAATCCAAACACAGCATCAGGTTCAAGAAATCCCGCAAGATTAGCATTGAGGCAAACAAAGTGGCGTGTCCCACCTGGGGGGTACTTGTCAGCGTTGAAAAGTGCATGCAGAGTGAGAACGATGTGCCACGCTGTCAATATTCCCAAACTTAAAATGCGTAAAAATGCTAAATTACCCTAACGACTGTCTCGCTGCGTTGGTGGTTGAAAGTAACTCCCCACTTGAACTTGATTTATCTTCACTTTGCTTCCTCTGCCAATCTAAACTATTCGGATCATATTTTAACAGACAGTTAAAACTAATCTTTACCCGCGTAGAAGTAATTGCTCATTCGTTTAGCAAACTTCTATTAATCACCTTTAATAAGAGAATATCTTTTAAATTAAAAAATACCTTTCACTCAAGTTTGAGTTATTTTATCTCAAACATTTATTTCATCCTTCATGTTTCTCTTTCTCATGTGACATATTCCTTCTGTTAGCTATTATGCCCTCTGTTTTTATTTATAGAAAAAACTATCATTTTGATCTTATTTTTTTATATAACAAAAATTATATTTTTTAATAAATATTTATTGCAAAATTTTTAAATTAGCCCTCATAATTTTATCATTTATAATTATAAAAAATAATTAATGAAGGCTTGATTATCACAATTATTGAAGGGTATTGTAGTTTAATTTTTTTAATTTTTAAATATAATTAATATAGTTAACTGATTGTTTATACATTTTTTTCCTACAAATAAAAATAGAGGGAGTATAAAACACTTTTAACTACCTCACTAAAATTAAAAAAAATATGTTTAAGTCATTAACTTTATCTAGAAAAAGAATAAATTTTTAATGTTACACCTATTTAAATGAAAAAATTTCAAATTATATCACATTTTTTCACAGTTAATGAATTTAAATAAATGTAATATCAAAAATAATAAATACTTCATCAATAGACTTATTTTAAGGATAATTTTTTTAAAAAATGATTTATAATAAAAACGAAAAGGATTGGAGTAGTAACAAAACTATTCTTCACTGAGAATTTAACCTTGGGCTCCGCTTGGTAACCTTGAAGAAAATAAGAAAAATATCCCATTGTATAAACGTGGCGCCTGTGGGCTGTATATGCAACATACCCTATCACTTAATTATTATTTTATAGTACTCTATACATGCATTTTTATTTTTAATATATTTCTTTATTTCATTTTGCATATCAGATGAGGCGTTAATTTAACAAACAAGAACCAGCCCGCCTTGCAACACTGTAGTAGATTTCCACGCTGCAAAGGAACACTATTAATGGTATCAAGTCACTTTCAGGAATATTGTACATTATTGAGATCTTATTTAAATTTGAATTTTATACATACTCTTATCATCTTATATACGACGAGAAGTAGCCAGCCTGTAATACTGTAGGAAAATTACATGCTACGTGAGAAAGTTATTATTTGATATATCTTGACATTATACAATTCTATACATGAGTTGAACAATGAAAACCTTATAAATGACTACACCAAATTTTTGTGTAATGCATGAAAAAAAAAATTGTTAGAATTACCACCATGAATGGAAATCGGGTCATTATGTTAAATTAATGAACATATATTCAGCATATCAATCAACCAATCATTAATATGTATCTATTAATCTTGTTGAATGAAGGTGATTGATCACAAATGTTAATTATTCCATCCCATTGATCCATTAATTTTTATATAATTAATTTAATTTTAACCTAATATTAATGTTACTATTTTATTGGTTGATGTGATTGAATTTTTTTTATTGATTGACAGAATTTAATTTATTTTTTCATTTATTTTAACTAATTTTTATTAACTCCATTCGGCTATCATTCTCCATTTGTATACTTTTCCATGCCTTTTTAATTTTTCTGATTAATAAAATTTAATTTATTTTCTCATTTTTTATGTATTTTCAATTTACTTTCGCTGGAGCATTGATTTAAGAATGGTTCCATTTTTAAATTTTAATTATTGTTAGTATTAACTTCATCTGACTATCCTTCTGCATTTGTTGTACTTCCTCATGCCTTTTCAACTTTCCTGATCAATGACATTTAATTTCTTTTCCTATTTTTCATGCATTTTTTTGATTTATTGTATTCAATATCAATCAACTCTCATTAATTATTATCTACAAACATTATATGTAAAATGAAAAAAAAGAAATAAAAAAAGTTTAAGTTTAATTTGGATAATCATTCCTTATCTCGCGGTTTTGGCCCTTCAAATTGTGCATGTTTCACCATACATTCCGTATTAATAATATAATGCGGTGACTCTTCATCTTTTCACATTGAAAAAACGAGGTGGAAACAATTCGACGGACAATACATATTCAATTTTTTAACTATACATACATACATACGTGGTCAAAGAATATCTATAAGAAAAAAAAAATCTCTTTTCTTCTTGGTGAAGAAGATAAGATTGTGCTTTCTTATGCATTTTGCACAAATCCTTTTCTTCCTTTTGACCTTTTAATATTTATATTTATAATATTTATAAAGATTAAAAAAATTTAATAATTTGAAAATTTAGCCAAAGACAAGATGTGTATGAATGAAATATCTAAGAAGGAAAATAAAATATCCAAAACGAAAAATGATTGAATAAAGGAACTTATGAAAATTTAACCATCTCAAATGTATTGATATTAATTGTATCAATAATATTTGTTTTAAATTTCTTAATTCCAACCCATGTAATGTATGAAAAAAATGTCTAGTTTTGGTTAAATGAGGTTTGATTGGAATTAGTAATTGATTGAGAATTGATTCATGACTGAATCTATTTTAAAGTTGATTTTAGACTAATGGAATTTTTCATTAGTAATGGAGCAATGTGTCACGGGACCATTACTCTCTCCCCAAAAGGCTAACCTATTAGGGTGTGCAGCGCCCCGCTTATATAACCAAGTCCTTTCCCAAGTTCTTCCGATGTGGGACCTGACAACTCTTCCGGCCAATCCGTGATGCCCCTGTCATAGGTGGCCCACCAGAGGGGCCCACCGACTGGGCAAACTCAGGTCTGGCTCTGATACTACTTTATCACGGGGCCATTACTTTCTCCCCAAAAGGCTAATCTATTAAAGTGTGCAGCACACCTACTTATATAATCAAGTCCTTCCTCAAATCTCTTTGATGTGAGACGGGTGACTAAAGTAAACAATCATCTCAAAGTAAATAGTTTTTTTCTCAATATTTGTTCTTATCTCTACTTCTTTCTCACTTCAAACGAAAGAACTCTAGTAATCCTATCTTAGCTTGAATAGTGTAAATAGTTAAACAGACTTCAGAATATCCAGACATGGTAAGACCTTAATAGGACTCTTTTTTTGAATTATTATTTTGTTATAATATCCTTCAGTAATAAATACTTATAATTTTATTAAAACAATGATGATGATTTTTGGGTAAAATAAAATTTCTATTGTTGGCGGATAATGCTGATGTTCCACAAAAATCATGTTGGAGCACAGTTTTTTTTTTTAATTTCTTTTTTCAATTTAGGCAGGGGCATCCGATTTGAAAAGTTATGCTTAAGATATTTTATCAATTTACCACCCTTTTTCATTTAGTCTACTCAATTATCTGCTTTCGAAAAAGATATTTAAAGTGTTGAAAGAAGTTCCAGTTGCTTTCTTACGAAGGACTTTGTTTTTGTCCTATTGAATTCATATTAAATGTTTTTTCTATCAAAGCTCTTAGCTCTTTTTTGTTGTTGTTATATCAAAAAGAAAAAGAAAAGAAAAAAAGGGTTAATTTTTACTTTCTTTCTTTATTTTTTTTTAATCGAACTCAAATAATCTTCCCCCCAATTCCTTATCTAACTTTTCAAACAATCCCAAATTTATTCTAAGAAAGCAGTATACATTCCTTCTGTATACTTGGATCTCCTTTTTATTTTATTTTTCGTCTTATATACGCTCACGCAAATAAGAAATGGAATTAATTTCATTTTCAAATAAAATCCTGAAGAGTTAATAAAACTTGCGTAAGAATATGAGAAACGCATCGTTGCTTCATTTTAAATCGATTCGTAGTCATTATTAATCCTTGAATGATGGTTGAATTTTGAGTAAGTCGCATTAAATTAAAATGTGAATAAATTAAATTATAATTAAAATTATCGGAGTGCCAACAACACTTCAACAGCCACTCCCAGCAAATTCAACATTTGACCCCCCTTTGACTCTGATGAGAATCGTCATGGAATTGGAACCGTTAGCTTAATTATATCAAGTCATCAAAAAATAATGAAAACGAAAGAGAGTAATGCTAAAATAATTAATTTAAAAATAAAATTGAGGAAACCAATAGAACCGTTGGAACCAGGCGGTTTAAACTTGCTGTTCCAAGTGTTCCAATAAATTTCCCTCAGATTTAAAATCAATTTTTCACTCGTTGAGTTCCCTCACTTCCCAGTTACTCCGTGTCTATCTCTCTCTTTCACCCTCGCAGTTTATTTTCCCCTGAAATCGCATCCAAGACCGTTCCTCGATTTTTGTGCCTCTTTTCCCTTGCCCTTCTCCCTCCTCCGTCCTCTTCCTTCTCTCTCTCTCTCTCTCTCTCTCTCTCTCTCTAGTCTAGTTTCAGACTCACCCCTCTGTCTTTCTAATTGCTAGCTGACAGAGACAGAGACAAGACAAGGACATCTTGTTAGGTTTCACCTCTATGAGATTGAAAACCAGAGGACCCTGAAGCGAAACTCCTACGTATCCCAGAAATAGTACCCTCAACAGTGCACACAGCCATGGTAGCTGGCAAGGTCAGGGTGGCCATGGGCCTCCAGAAGTCGCCCTCCCACATTTCTAAATCCGACACTCCGCCGCCGCCGTCCGCCAAGCAGCATACTCCGTCCTCCACCGCCGGCTCCGGTAATAAAGGTTCTCACAAGTCTGCTTTCACTCGCTCTTTCGGCGCCTACTTCCCTCGCTCTTCGGCACAAGTCCAGCCCCGTCCGCCAGACGTGACGGAGCTCCTCCGTATCGTGGAGGAGCTGCGCGAAAGGGAGTCTCGCTTGAAGACTGAACTTCTCGAGCACAAGCTCTTGAAGGAGTCCGTCGCGATTTTGCCTGTTCTGGAGAGTGAGATTAGTGCCAAGGATACAGAGATTGAGAGGAAAGCCAAGCGAGTGGAGGAATTGGAGGCTGAGAATTTGAAGCTGACAGATGAGTTAGAGGAATTGAAGCGTCGGGTTGAAGAAGAGAGAAGAGAAAGCGAGATGAAGATGAAAACGTTGGAGGCTAAGATACAAGAGTTGAAAAAAGAGGTTTCCGATCATGCAGAAAAAAGAGATGCATTAGACGGTGATGATCTTTCTTCTTCTTCACAAAGGTTTCAAGGTCTTGTGGAGGGTTGTGTCAAGTCCAATCTAATCAAGAATTTGAAAGGAGGAGCTAAGTGCGTGGATACTTTGTCAATCCAAGATAGCAATATTCATACTAACAAGCAGCATGAAAGTAGTGCGAATTTGAGGAGAGAGGTAGTAGAAATAGAAATGGATAAACCCAGACATTCCAGGAGCAACTCGGAGGAGCTAGCGGAGTCTGCCGAGTCAGCGATAACCAATGTCAGATCCCGTGTGCCCAGAGTTCCAAAACCACCGCCAAGACCGTCGTCGTCGTCGCCTCCGTCGCCGCCATCATCGTCTGACTCAAGTTCTGATGCTTCAGATGGCAATGGTGAAACAGAGCAAGTAGTTCCGAAGCCTCCTCCACCACCACCACCTCCGCGTGCGGCAGCATCCAAGTCTGCTCCACCACCTCCTCCTCCTCCTCCGCGCACGGCTGCATCCAAGGCGGTTCCACCGCCACCTCCGCCGCTGCCGAAGGGGAACAGGTCAGGACCGCCAAAGATGAGGAGAGTGCCAGAGGTGGTGGAGTTTTACCACTCGTTAATGCGGAGGGATTCGCATTCCCGGCGGGACTCAGGCTCCCCAGCGACCGAGGTTCCGACGACGGCAAATGCCCGAGACATGATCGGTGAGATCGAGAACCGTTCGGCTCACCTGCACGCTGTAAGTAAAACAGTATTCAAGTTTTGGCATAATTACAACTTTGCCCCTATCGTCGTGTCAGCATCAACTGTCCAGTCTGAGTCCCACATTTACACCTTTAATTTGAATTGAATTGTCTTGGGTTCTTCTCGTAGATAAGACAATTTTGAGATTCGAAATCTGCATTCTAAGAGATCAATCTTAAACCGTAAATATGCATGAAGCCCATGCGGCATGCTCTATACCTTTAAGTTACCATTTTGATTTGAAGCAACGAAGTCAAACTGAAATCAAACTAGAGACATTTCGGTAACTTTAGTCAAAGATATTATTAGCGGACTTTAATTAAGGTGATCAGAAAGCTAATCATTCACAAACATGGAATTAGCTGGAAAATGAAAATTGAACTGTGTTTGGTTACAGATCAAAACAGACGTGGAAACACAAGGAGACTTCATAAGGTTCTTGATCAAGGAGGTGGAGGGTGCTGCTTTAACAAACATTGAAGACGTGGTGTCATTTGTTAAATGGCTTGACGAAGAGCTGTCTTATTTGGTAATTCAATCAACTTTGAATAATTAATTATTATTAATGATGTCTTATGATAATGTGATGATTAATTAATGGAAAATTGATGATTCAGGTGGACGAAAGAGCTGTGCTGAAACACTTCCAATGGCCGGAGCAAAAGGCAGATGCACTGCGAGAGGCAGCGTTCGGATATTGTGATCTGAAGAAGTTAGAATCCGAGGCTTCCTCATTCCGCGACGATCCTCGCCAACCATGTGGTCCTGCTCTCAAGAAGATCCAATCTCTATTTGAGAAGTACTATCTTTTTCATTTATTTTAAATATACTTTTCTTGTTTTTTTGTGTGGTAAGAGTTAGATGTTGCGGGATGTTACTCTCTTCTCAACAAGCTAATTTGTTAGTGTGTAGTGCGCCCACTTATATAATTAAGAATTTTTTTAAAGTTTTTTAATGTGAGCTACGACAACTCTCTCGACCAAATAATGTTCTTGTTATGGATGGCCTATTAGAGGAGCCCACCGATTGGGTAAATTTGGATTTGATTTTGATACCACTTTGTTATGAGGTCATTAATCTCTCCTTAAGAGACTAACATGTTGGGGTTTGTAGCGTACTCGTTTGTATAATTAGGACTCTCTTCAAATTCCTCCGACATGGGACATGACATAGAACTAACTTAGATTTTTTTTTGATATTGTATTAATTAAAATGAAATTAAAAAAATGTGTGGCATTTGGCAGGTTAGAGCATGGGGTTTACAATATCTCAAGGATGAGAGAGTCTGCAACGCATAGATATAAGGTCTTTCAGATACCTGTGGATTGGATGCTTGATACGGGATACGTTAGCCAGGTATTTTCCCCATGATTGTGTATTTCTATCTATATATATATGCGCGCGCTCGCATTAAGAAGATCCAAATACATGTATATACGTTAGCTTGTCACTTATAAATATTTATTGGCTGGCTGCCCATGAATAATCATCTAATGTTAGGTGGATTCGCTAAATAATCTAGGAAAGGCACGCACAAATATTAGTATATTCTACATTTGTGCCTTTTGAGCAAGCAGTATTTTCCATTTAACTAGTACGCTGGGAACAAAACGACAGAGGAAAAGGTTGGACTTTTTCGTGTGTGTGTGTGTGTCTGTGCAGCACTGCATGCGCACGTGTTGTGAACTCCAAGAAACCTAAATTTACTTCGTCCTTTTGCACTAATCTTCTATGTTTTTTTACCGTTAGTTCTCATTGTTGTATGACGGAAAATAATAAATAGGCCTCATATGGTGGATTTGATTAAACAATACTAGAGCAAGCAAAGGGTTTGGTAACTCATATAAATATATTTGCATAGTCGTACGTGCAATATTGTTGGGGTTGTGTTGTGGGCAGATAAAGCTGGCATCAGTAAAACTGGCGATGAAGTACATGAAGAGGGTATCTGCGGGGCTAGAATCAGGAGGTGGTGGTCCTGAAGAAGAGGAGCTGATCGTGCAAGGAGTTAGGTTTGCATTCCGTGTGCATCAGGTAAATAATAATAATAAGAAAAAAAAAAAGGAAATGAAGGGACCATGGTCTGGTCTGGTCTGGTCCTGGGTATTGTGTGGACAGACAATAACGTTAACGTGTGTTGTGTGTTTTGTTGGGTGGCAGTTTGCTGGGGGATACGATGTGGAGACGATGAGAGCGTTTGAGGAATTGAGGGATAAGGCGAGGTGGTGCCATGTACAGAGCCAGAGCCAGCAACATAAATTCTTGTGCAGGTCTGCTACTTGCTGATCCACATTTTCAGATCCCAGTGCTGTTGCTTTCGGAGCAAACTCTGCTTCCTGGTCTTTTTGATGTAGATGGCACTTCGTAGGCACTAGCCAGAGCTATTCCACCCCTGGTATTCCATAAAACGTACGGTGGTATTCATAATATTAATTCGTCTATTCGTTCATTACTTGGGAACTCTTATATATATATTTATATATAAAAGAAAACACTAATCTGCTTCCTCCCTGTTCAAAGCAAATTTTTTAGAGGTGGTAATTTAGTTCGTTGGAGCTCCGATTGACCCTAATTTTTTTTGAACGAGTTTGGACTGGCTCATTAAATTTGACCAAAATTATTTAGTTTACATGCACAAGGAGACAGAAATTCTAGAGGTTGGGTTTATTTGAATCGAACTTAAAGTATTTTATCCCTTTAAAAAAGCTCGTATAATCAAGCACGGCTTTAATTTTTTCGTGTGAATTGGGGTTGATTCGAATTACCATCTCTAAAATTTTTTAACCAGCCTGTGACTCTAATATGTTAATGCTCAATTCTTCTTATATTCCATGCAAATATATGAACTTTTTGAGTGTAATATGCTACCGCGGGCTTTAGGTAAATATCGGATCATCTTAACTTCCTTCAACACAACAGCTTAACTGCCTTCAACACAACGGCTTATGTACCCAAAAATATAAAAGAGTAAATGGACTTCTGAATTATTGATCAGGTCCTCGTGTGTTCGAGACCCAATATATATATATATATATATATATATATATTTGGTTTTTGTGATGGCCATCCAATAGTCAACGAAAATTTAAGTTTAAACGTTACCTTTTGTCTCTATATATAAAAAAATTTATAAAGTTTTTTTTATCTATAAGAAGTTATAATATATTTTTTAATAAATATATCATTATACTCTTATTAAATTAAAAAAAATTTAATTAATTTACTTTAAAAAAAGAGATTTATTTTTTATTTATAAAAAAATATAGCTTTTGATTCCTATATTTTATTTGCATTTTGCTTTCAATCCATTTATATTTTTTTCAGTATTTTAAGTTCCTACATTTTTATTTTTTTTATTATTTTTGGTCCCTCCAAAGTCTTTATATAGAGGGATAAAAAACAATGAAAAACAAAAGTGTTGGAATTTAAAATATCAAAAAAAAGTATAGGGATCAAAAGTAAAATGTAAGTAAAGTATAAGAACTAAAAACTATGTTTTCCTTTTATTCAATTAGGAGTAAAATTGAAATGTTACTGTGCTTTTATACAATAAACTTTTATTGATTTATGTAATTCAATTAAAAACATCTTATATATAAGGATGGAGGAAGTAGTTGACTAAAAAATGATAAACAAAAACATCAAAAATTACAAAATAGGGCTAATAATTTTTTTAATCTTTTTCTGTAATTTTTGGGGCCATTGTTTTTTAGATCATTTACTGTAAGTTTTTGGTCATTTTCTTTTTTTTTTTTTGTCTTTTTTCTATCAATTTTTAGTCAATTAAGTTGAAATCAACTCTTGTTGATAGTAGGAGCCTAATAGCAATATTTTTAAAAATTAAAGAAAAATATTATATAAAAAAATAAGTTTAGGATATCAAAACAAGAGTATAAGGGCTACTTTATTTTTTTACCTGATATAATAAATGTAATGAAATTCAAGGAGCATGCATAGGACAAACTATATGGATTGAATTTTTTTTTAGATCCATATAAATTCTCTAAATAAAACTATTCAAATTTCACTTGGATTACAAATATTTTTGTATTATGTTAATAGTTATACAATTTTTTTTGTAAGGATAAATAATAAATAATAAATTATTTAATTTTATTAAAGTTGTTTCCTCAACCTATTATTTTATAGGAAAATTAGCTTTATACTTTGAAAAAAAATAAAAAAAATTAATAATTCTTTTATTATATATAAATTTTATAATTTAAATAAAATTGATGAGTTTTTTATTGGTTTTGAAAATTAATAAATCATATCTATAAATTTTCAGTATTCATTATTCAAAAAATAACTGTTTACCTCGTTCTCCCAACAATGCCCTAGTACACTTCAATATATTCAGATGTGGGTTCGCATTTTCTATATGGAGTTTTTTTCATAGTAAAAATAAGCTATATTGTATGGGAGTGCGTTCATTTCATTGTTGATTTGAACTGACTTGTTGAATAGTTGGACAACACGTGAAATGAGAAAAATAACAGTAAGGGAGCAGCAGCAGCTGCTGTTGCTAACAATAACAACAACAACAACAATAATAATAGTAAGGTGTCATAAATGTAAAGATTATCCTTCACCCCATCATAAAACTTCTACCATTACAAATGTTGATTATGTTTTATTTACTATTATTATTTGCACAACTCTTGGTGCAAGTTTATACCTATAAATAAGCATGCCATTTATATTATATTATACTACAAAAAAAATATTGTTTTGAAATGCACAATAATCTATCTCTAACTAGTAAAAATTCATCTCTAAACAAGTAGAGATGGATTTAGAGATAAATATAGTAGTGTCTCAAAAAGGGATATCGCTAAATAATTAGGGATAGATTTTTCAAATCGTTGCTGACTAGAGATATATTTTTTCTGTCACTAAATAAAAAATACCATCACTAATTTTCATGAAAAAATTCATTCCTATAAAATGCTATAAAAATTATATGAAATGAGAGATAGAGTAAAATAGTTTCTAAATTCGTCTTTAAAAAAATGAAAACTAAATTCTTCATTATCTACCTCCATGTTAGTGCCACATCACTTGACATCTCACTAATCATATGTGCATCTACACATGCCAACTCTCCTGCCCATATGTGGGTCAACCAATGCCATGTCATGCATCATGTCGCCACCTCATGCCATATCACTTGTCACCACTTACACATTACATATTTGTTACAAAATATGCTAAGACCAATGTCTAATCCCTTGGCCTCCCATCTTCTAAACTTTAAATCCTTCTTTTTTATTAGTTAAATTAAAATAAACAAACAGTTATTATACGCAAAATTAAATATATGTTAACTATATACACATATATAAAATATTATACTATTAAAAAAGATATGCACAAATTTTTTTATTTTCAATTATTAATATGATAAAATTATTTATATGACTATTTATATTATATTTTTAATAAAATATTATTTTTTTCAGGAAAATGAACTTAAAATGAAAAAATTTTTAAAATGAAAATATTATTTTTTAAATGAAAAATAATTAAATATATAATTTATTCAAAAATATGAATTATTTTAATTTATATTAAATATTTTTTATTTTTATCTTCTCCATATTATTCTCAAAAATTAATAAATAAATAATTAAATTTTTATCTTCTCTCAAAATGGTTAAATGTTTCCCATTCTTTTCTTACAAATAAATTTTATTCACAATTTTTTCAATTATTTTTTAAAATTTAATAAAAAATATTTTAAACAAAATTATTTTTTTATCAAATTTACTTAATATGGAAGAAAATTAAAATTGAAAATCTTTATACTATGTTTTATATATATATATATTAATACATAATTCTATTTATCATAAATTAAATATTATTTTATTTATATAATTTTAAGTTATACTATATATTAATAAAATAGTTTATTTTCTTATATACTTCAAAATTTATTTTTATTTTCTCCTTCCTATGCTGAAAATGAAAATTATTCATATATATATAATTAGCATAAAAATGATATTTTTCATGAAAATAATTAATTCTTGTCATATAAATATTATCTATAGTCATTTTAAATGTATTTTTATTAATTCTTCTTAATATTCAATTTCATAAATATTTTGGAGTTTTGATTTTATTTTCTTATGTTAATGTGTTGTTATAAAATATTGTTAGTGACTTCTTTCAAGACAATTTTGTTATTTGGTAAAAAATTGTTAATAATTAAAAAATTACTAAAGAAAAATATGAATAACACAAAAGAGACAAAACATTCAATTAATTATGATTATAAAATAAATTAAAGAATACTAAATTGAAATTTAGAAAGTGAGAATGGTTAAACTTTGAGAAAGAGAGAAAGAAGAAGAGAAAAATTTAAATGACATACAAAATATTTTTAAATATTCTATAAATTCTAAAGACAAATATTTTCAAATACAAACATTGAATTTTTATTGTTTGCATTGAATGGGAATCTCACTAAACAATGATGAAATTTTTTCTACATCTTTTAAAATTAATTTTCATTTTAATATATTTCAAACATGTATTAAAATAATTGATAATTAAAAAATTAAAAAAAATTAAAAATGAGTCCTTATTTAAATTTGTCTCTGCCTTGAATTAAAGACACATTGAGAAATAAAAATTACTTCATCTCTAATATATTTATTTTAGTTGTTTCTAACTCAGTCTCTAAATTAATAAAAATAAAATTATAAAATTTTAAAGAAATATAGAGAGGGAATTAGAGATGGTTAAATTTTTGTCTCTAAATATATAAAAAAATATATCTCAAATTCAGTCTCTAAATTAAAAAAATATAAAATTAATATTAGAGATGGATTTGGAGATGGCTAGTTTAGAAATGAAATTTGTTCATCTCTAAACTTGTCTCTAACATTTTAGTTTTTTTAAAATTAAATTTTTAATGAATAATGATAGAAGATGAGATAGAATTTGTGATGTTTTTTCTAGAGATGTATATAAGTTGTCTCGAAATATGTTTCTGTATTTTAAAATATTTATTAAAGTTAAATCTGTCTCTAAAAATATAATTAGTCTCTATTAGAGATGAAAATTGGGCCGTCTCTAATTTTTGTCTCTATTTTAATATTTTTTTAGTGTTATATGTATGAAAAAGAGTATAAGAGAAATTATTCTTATTTCTGTTGTCTAAGTTGCTTCCTTCTCTTTCTTCTCATTTCTATTCTTTTTAAATTTTATTCATAACATAAGGGGTAAATTTGAAGGGAAGGAAAATCATACAACACATTAAAATTTATTAAAAAAACATATTATTTATAACTTTATTTTTCGAATTTCGATATATGAACAAAAAAGCTTCTAGTGAGCAGTGACCAAATTAAAGTAAAAATAAAAAAAATCTTATTATTTTATAGATCCAAGCATTTACTAGAATTTTTAATCGAGCCATATACATTAGGTAAGGTGGTT